AAATTCAAAGGGATACTCCATCAGCTTCTCCAAGGTCAAGCTACAACAACTATGGAGCTTGCAAAGAAGTTTGCAGAAGTCCACAATAAGATGGACAGCCAATACACTGAGCTCTCTTCCAATGAGGGTTTGAACTCTAGAGTCAAAACTTTAGAGAACAGCAAGGGAATTGCCTCTAGCTCTAAACCACAAGGTTAACTTCCTGGAAAACCTGATGCTAGTCCAAGTGAATTCTGCTATGCCATCTCTTATGAAGCTTTACCTTGCACTGCTGATTCTGCAGCTGAACTTGCTGAGTTAGAGAACCTTTTGTCTGATGATGATAGTTCTACACTTCCCTCATGTGCCAAGACAGTTCTACAATGAGGACATTGAGACTTTAAGTGTGGGGGAAAAGCCAAAGCTGTTGGCTAAAGAGAAGCCAGATATTTACACAACATACCAGCCTGCTCTTGCATTTCCAGCAAAGTTCAAGCAACAAATCTTAGCCAAGCAGACAGCTTTATTCCTAGCAACCATGGAAGAAGCTGATAGGACTTGTGAACATGTACCTGCTGATTTGTTGGCTTTCAAGAAAGATCTTCTAGCTGGAGGAAAGGGAGCTAGTAAAGACAAGGTTGGCTCACCAACAGTTACACCAATAAGAGCTGAGGAGATAATCACTACCAAGAAGCTAGGAAATCCAGGACTTTACCCTACCTTGCAAAGTGGGAAATTCTACATTCACCAGCTGTTTGTGTAATCTATGCCAGCATAAACTTGATACCTCTCTCAACTACCAAGAGTCTTGGCTACACAAGCTTCAAGGAGAATAGTATCTCTCTTATCATAGCTAATGGGACAAGAAGAAGTCATGGATATTTTCTAGTTGATCTGCCCATTATGATTGAAGGAGTGAAAGTACCAACAGACTTTGTGGTACTTGATATTGATTGTGCTGCCAAAGACCCCATCATTTTGGGAAGGCCTTTCTTGGCCTCAGCTGGAGCATTGATAGATGTTCAAAACGGTTTTATTGAGCTAAGGTTGGGAAAGGACAAGGTCCTCATGTTTGATGCTAAAAGATTGGAGCATGGGTCCAGCAAAATATAGCTTGCCTACTCACTTGAGTTTAAGAGAGAAAGTTTGGGGATTGATGGCTTGCTTCTCCCAAATGAATATGATGGAGAGAGCTTTGATGGTAAGTGTTTATCTTATCTGTTCATGGAGCATCAACCTACACCAATGAAGGAACAAGTCAAAGAGATCCCAAAGAAGACAAAGGGTGGTGATCCTAAGCTAAATTCTCTCTCCAATGGGTTAAGCTTGAAGCTGGTGAGCTCAACAAATGATGGAGTGATGTAAAAGGTCAAGAGCAAAGGGATACCTCAATCTTTTGCATTTTTGAAGGTCCCTCCACACCATACAAAGACCAGCAAGGAGTTCCACAACTCCTTCTTTCCCCAACTAGAAGAAAGGGGTGGAACATCAAGCTAAGATATGTAAAACAAGCACAGTTGGGAGATATTCCCATCTTATCCCTATAAATACTTGCTTTATTATTAATTTTTCTGCTTTAGTGTTTTGTGAATCTGGTTTGCTAAGTAGATAGCCAAAAAGGAAGGAAGGAAAATTTTGGAGTTACACCGGGCACACACTTTGGAGACACAACCTCGCAATATAAGGCCGCACCGGCAACTCAGCCCGGGTACACCTCCTCGGAATGAGCCACCCCGAGAAAATTGTGATTTGCACCTGCTACCGCACCTTGGGGCGAGTCGAGCAGGAATTTAGAGAAGTCATTATGGGTACTCACCCCGGTGTTACCTCCTCGGAATGACCCGGCTCGAGAATTCTTGAAGTCGCCCCGTGCACTCACCCCGCCTTCACCTCCACGCTGCGACCAATCCCAGGTAAGCCAACTCTTCCTTAGACGCCTTGACCTAAGCTACCCCCTTCCTATACCCTTCAAAAACCCAAAAAGATTATATCTTCTTCATTCTCAGTCATGGCTCTTTGCATAACTCTCTCAATTCTCAGCCAAATTTTTTGATTCAAAGATCAAACAACTCGGTTCAATGTACTCCATCCGTTTATGTGTTTATTTCTAACCATTCATCACACTAAGCAAAGGTATGTCTCTGAAATTCCAGATTTTCTCCACCACCTTCGATGGTGGAAATTTTTAAAATCTTTGCTAGGACATGAAATTAGAATGCAAGTTCTATGAGCATTGGTCATTGAGCGTTTGTATGGTGATTACGAATACTAGTGACGAATTTCAATAATGAAAGTGTGAATTTTTGGCAAGTTTGTGTTCTTGGTGAATAGCGAGTCCAAAAATTGCAATTACTCTCTTCAAACTTGTTAGAATTTTATGCTTCCAATTCCATTAGGCTTCTATCACCTTGCTTAATTCTTATTGAATGATAGATAACAGCTTTGAACACATTGAAAATTTGTGATTTTTGGCAAAATTTGAAACGTTTGGCTAAGTGTTGAGAATGTTATTGATAGCTTTGTTATCTTTGTTCTTTGGTTGCTTGCATTCTTGGCTTGTTTCCTTACAAATAGAGATTACATAAACAAGATAATGCTTGCTATAAAGGATTTTACACTATGCTTATTGTCTGGTAGGATATAAGGTCAAAGGAAGGATCCACAAAGACCAAGGCTGCAGCTGTAAAGGCAAGCGCTGCTAGGATAGGAAAGAAGCATGTGCTTGATGATAGTGATTCTGATTTAGAGAGGCAGCCTGAGAAAAGGTCTAAGCAAAGACAAGACAAAGGGGCTGAGAAAGGGAAGCAAAAGAAAGCTTCAAAGGAAATCCCTAACCCCACAGCTTATGTGCTCTACAAGAAGGCAATAAGGATGGCATTTAGTGGGACAAGCTATGCTGTTGTGGAGCTGTTGAGCTAAATTGCCATATTGGGAGAAGTTCAATTGCTCTTCCAGGAGATGGGGTTAGAGAAGTTCTTCACTATGGCATACCCCTCCCAAAAGACTGCCACTTGCCAATTCTCCTCATCACTTGAGGTGTACTTCTATGAAGAGGGTGAAGAAGGTAACCCTTTGTTTGGGTATGGTTACATCAAATTCAAAGTGGGAAGAACCATCTACCACATGGGGTTCAGTTAGTTGAATGAAGTCTTTGGGTTCAGAGCTGGCAGAACTTGTAGCACACAAATGGAGGTTGCTAAGGGTGAAAACAAAGGAGTTTGGGACCAAATAAGTGTGGGAGAGTACAAGCCTGGACAATGGAAGGGTGCTTAAATTGGCCATCCAACCATCAGATATGCACACAAGTTGCTTGAAAACACATTCTTTGAGTGGAAGGAGAACAACAATGTGCTTGATAAGGAGATGAATTTCTTGTGCAAGGGTTTGAGAAACTATCTAGAGAGTATAGGGAACCTAATAATCATCAAGGGAGATCTCTCATGAATGGGGTTGACCACTGTTTTGATGAAGCGCTTCTTGTACCTCAAGAACTGGGTTCCCATAACTACTGATTCTAAGACTATAATTGGCTTTGGAGGTCTCAATACTCCCATCTTGGAGGCAGCCAATGTCTCCTTTGGTGAGCCAACCCACTCTCCCATGTTCATTGACAAGGAATACGTAGCCAAGTCTACCTATTTTGCTGGATGCTTGGGCAAAAGATTGGCATATCAGTTTCGTATCAACCCCACTGAGAAGAGGAAGATCTTGCTTCCCACCATGGCTGAGCACATCTCATTTGCTTCAAGAGCCCCTGTTAGGTTCAATATCCCAGTAAAAGCTCTTGTAAACCCAAGGAAGGATCCACATCTTGAGTCCATCAGAGCTAAGTCAAAAACAGCAAGGACTCCTACTGCAACAGCTGAAGGGCTAGAGGAAGAAGAGGAGCAAGCGCAAATCTATGGGAGTGAAAGGTAATACTTTGAGCCTTACAACAGCCCAATCCCTAATGAGGCAGCCAAGGCAGCTCACAAGCACACCTCCCTTCTCCAAAGATGGACCAAATGGCAAGACAAGACTATCAAAAAGCTTGTCAAGACCATTAAGGAGATGAAAAAAGGGATGAAAGGCATGGAGAAGGAGATCAAAAGCTTATAGGAAAAGCTTGGTGAAACCTCTGGTGCACAAGGAGATGAGCAAGAAGAGGACCAAGAAGTTTAAATTGTGTTCAATGTCTTAGTTGTTAGTTGTCTAATGATTGTGATCTAGTTTGAGCTGAAGGTTAAACCACATTTTGAATTCTTGGCATTGTCACTCTTGTCTAGTTGCAACGAAGAAGTGTTAGCTCGCCTGATCCACTTTTGGGAAGCCAGAAGTTTCAAAAAAGACAACATCATGATGGGTGTTGAACTACTTTTTCTCGACTTAGAGGTAGACTAACTCTAATCGCTGTTTCCGTACAGGCTTTTCTTCTTCTACTATTATTAAGGAAAAAAGAATTCATGTTAGCTCGCTTAAATGCATTTTTGTGATTGTTCTTGCTTTCACTATTTTAAGAAACGATAGACTAGTCTTATTTTGTATTACTCGGAACAAAACGATTTACACCTACTTCTAGATTTAGTATGATCATGTTTAGCTATTTAACAATCACAGCTTCCCATTATCCAATAACATATATCTTATTTCTCTCTCACCATACTACTCTTCCTGCTATTAAACCTCTTTTAATTTTCAATCCCACAGTTTAATGCAGTGCAAGCTTTCATTTCTGTAAACTGGCTTTACCGCTTTGAAGACAAGATCAAGCCAAGCTCAGTTTGCAAGTTAAAAAAATTCATGATCAAACCCTGCAAAAGCCACTTGTTTCATCGACCACACGACAATGGTGGAAGTACCTGAGGGAGAGCAGGAAATATATTGCCAGAAATTCCGACTCTGCACATTCAATGATTTCTCCGCCATTGCTGACATGGAAACCAATCTCTTTGGTATGAAAATTCCTTTCATAAATCATTTATGGCATTGCTTAACTTAAAAAAATTACCCGTAACTAATTTCGGGTTATGTTATCTTTAGATGTATTTGGAAAGCTACGCCTCATAAGCGGCGATAACCTACACTATGTGACAGCCACGGCCACTGCTCCTGATGTTCTAGGCAACAGATCAAAAGACAGAGTATTCTTTCACCTACTTATGAGAGAGTAAAACTATCTGTTTATCTTTACTTTAAAAGAGAACGCATCATAAAAAAAATGTTGCTTACTCACTGTCTCTTCTCTCACTTTCATTCACAGTGGAGAGGCCATCCGCATTTACTTGTGGGGAGATATTGCCGCCTCATTCCGATAGAGATGGAACAAAAGTGATGTCTAACCTGCCATTGTTCTTATAACCACTGTCAACCCGAAAGTTTTTGGCAGTAAACCTCATATCTTACTCATTCTCTGTACCATACATTTTATTCAATCATAATATAGGTTCCCCACCTTTTCAGATGCAGTAACCCTCAGGTCGACATCATCCACACGCCTGTTCTTCGACACAGACATTGCCGAAACTAAAGAGTTCCTAACATGGTCTGCTGACAGAATTTTGTACCATTATTTTAAGGGAGGATTACTATACTAACCATGGAAAGTAGGTATATGACTAAAATGATTTAAGTCTTTTTTATTACTAGAATAACCTAGCATACCAATTTTACCCCTGAAGTTTTTGATGACAAAAAAATAGATTTCAAAAATGCCATTACTGAAGCCCTGCCACATCATATTAGGCTTTGTCGGTATACTTATTGGATACGGTCAATGCTGATGGAGAGCCGTAGATTTGATAGACGTAATTTGTTAGATATATTTTCACGTCGTGGAAGATTTGTTTTATAACTGTAGATTTCGATTAGATTCGGTATACTTGTTATCTAATTTTGGTGGACTTGTTCTATGTGACGGTAGATGTTTGACTTTTTAGGTTGTTTGACCAGTTACGGCGGTTGATTTATCGTTTGAATGGTAGATATCTTTCTTTCACAGGGAGATTTATTTCGCGGTAGTCTACGAATTGTTCTTATCACCGTACTGGTAGAGTTATTTATGTGGTGGTAGACTTAAGTAATAATTGGCAAGTGATGCGCAGTTACGGTAGACCTTTATCGATGGTGTAATGGTAGAGTTAATCTTTTGGAAATTATTAGTCTAACATCGTTGGTAGATTTAGATTTCGAGTGTTACGATAGACTATTGTATCTTGAAAGGTGATGGTTTATAGTTGACTTTTGAAAACTCAACATTTAAATCTACCACGTACATATACTATGATGTGTGGTGTTTTCTTTTGTTAATCTTTATTCGTGGCACATGTCCATAGTCATTTCATGGTTTTGTGTTTGATATTAGTGATGTACGTGATTAAGAGAATGATTAGTAAGTTGAAGAGCCATTCAATTACATTAGAAAACTTGAGGATCTTCATCCGCATAAGTCCTATGTTTTGTAACAAAAATACATAGAGATAAGGAGAGCAATACTAAGAGATGAGATGAAATATCATATTAATAGAAGGGAATGCGACAACTATCATCAGAATTCAAATTTGAGGAGTTGGTATTGAATGAATAGGTAGCACTCCTCGCAGCCAGCAATTCTGTGTCAGAATTTGCAACTTGTAAAATCATCATATCCAAATTCATTTGGCAACAAGCCTCGGCTCTCGTTATTCATTCCCTTCTCCGTTCTGGAGACTTCTTCACCAATCTTAATCATGTACACTATGCGTGAACTCCAGCCTGCAATACGGTCTAGAATTTCTAGTCCTCGTGTGTATAGACCATATGCGGTGGTGCATATAGCGAACATTAAAGTTCCATGGTTTATCCCTGCTTTATAAGCCTTGTTGAAAAGTTTGACTGCATTTTCAATGTCCCCCTCAACAGCTATTTTAGTCATCCCGTGCAGGTATAAGGCCTGAGGTCTGCTTGATAAGATAGCCAAATTAAAGAACCGAGGAAAACGCTCCACCAAGGTAACGTCTCACAGAAAGTCGGAAAGGTTTAGCGCTTGCATAACAGATGGTTGCTTCAACGATTCCGATAGTAGCTTAGATGCACAAGCTGCAAGACAAGCATCCTTCTGCACTAGGATCTAATCGAGTACATCTCGTATTTGACTGAATCCATCTGGAGATTCCATCTGCAAGTACGATAGAAGTACATCAGTTCTAAAACAAATTTATGTCTACCACAACTGATACACCGACTGCAATTAAATTTATCATCAAGTCAAACAAATTATATATGTCTACCACCACAGCAACTTGGATGTCAAATAAATCTATCAAAAAGTGTCCTAGTTGAAAACATAGAAAAAACGATATGGAGAAGTTGTACCCAGAAAAATACTACTGTTCAGCAAAATCTACAGGTGACGATCCCGAAAATGTTGGGTTAGAAGAGTGGACGAGTACAGGAAATTAGATCTAAGTAACCAACGTTTTGTTATGAAATTAAAGCAGGATCTCGAAAATTTACGGAGTCGTCGGGACAATGTCGGTCGGCATAATGTGCTCAGTCGACTGAATCATGAAGAAGAATAGTTTGAGTTTTCGATAATGGCGGAGATGCCAGGAATTGGTGAATGAAGCATTGTTCTTTATTTTGTTACGGCAGAATTATCGAGAAAGGTAAAAGTATTTTTTTTTTACGCAACCACCACAAAAAGATGAAGCATATCTTAACTTAGGATTGCCGCTGTCGTACAAGAAGACTCGCTAACTCCAATCTCCTTCATCGATCTCTCTTCTCTGAAATTTATTTGCCAACTCTGAGATATTTTGGGGGGCTTTGCTGTGAAGCTCTATCTTCATCGTCGATCTCTCTTATTTTTGTATTTTTCGGTTTTAATGGAGCAATTCGTTTTGGTTTGTGGCAAATGGGTTTTTGACAAGAATCATTGGATCTTCGTCATCGACAAATCAAAGGGTTGCACGATACTAAGGGTACATCCTGAAACCTCGTTTTTAGATTTGGTTGGAATGGTGTTTGAGGATTTCGGTTTCGATAATCGATTTCAAGAACTGCATTTCAGTTGTACTTTGTCCAAGCAATTATTGCAGAGACTACCACAAGATACGTGGTTTTTTTCACAATTGAAGCAAGAGCCAGTCAGATTATGCATTGAGATTAAAGAGAAGTCTAAGCAGAAGCAAGAACTCCGGATGTTGTCAATCACGATAATCGACACATGCAAGATTCAGAAACTGAAGAAGACGGGACATATAAAAACAACGATTAGGCGAGCTAATCCGGGGACACTTATAAAGCTTGAAATGGATGAGGATGATCGATTCAAGTTTTGGTTCCTCGCTTTTGGGGCAAGCATACACGGGTTCCCCTATATGGGGAAAGTTGTTATCGTAGATGGGATGTTCTTGTATGGGAAATATAAAGGTACACTACTCATCACAACAACCCAAGCTGGAAATTTTAATATATTTCCTATAGCTTTCGGTGTCGATGATACTGTGGTTTTTAGACAGCTACACCGTGTGATCCCTGATGATGAGGGACTAAGCACTATTTCTGATAGACACAGGGCAATAGGAAAAGCGATGGGGAAGGTTTACCCTCTAGCAAAGCGAGGTATATGGACATATCATCTTTATAAGAACATTTTGTTGAAATTAAAAGGAGGAAACAGTTTTGGGCTTGTAAAGAAGGCTGCTACAGAATATACACAAGCAGAGTTTAGTCCACATTATGCACAGATTCAGGCTACCATCTGCAGCTGTTCAATTATTTGGAAAAACCCGATGTATGTAAGTGGAGTCGTGCTCATTTCCAAAGGGATAGATACAACTTCACAACCAGTAACATAGCAGAATAACTTAATAAGGTTCTGAGCAGTGGAAGAAGTAAGCATATTGTTGGACTCTTGGAAGATAGCAGGATGCTTTTGACGAGGTGGTTTGCAAAAAGACGCTGAAATACTGCTCAGATGCAAACATATCTCACAAAAGGAGTCGAAGACTTGCTGCAGGTTAGAGTAAATCTATATGTGGTAGATTTGTTTTCAGTATAGTAGATTTGTTTCACTTAGGTAGATTCACTTAAGTAGATTTGTTTTCAAAACGGTAGATTTGTTTTCACTATGATAGATTTGTTTTCACTATGATAGATTTGTTTGTGCGGAACAGGTTAGAGTTGAAGATGCTAAGCAGTTGGTTGTCCAAGAGATAAATGCTCATTGAACGCAAGTGACGTCTGGAACAGTATTGCATGTAGTTAACCTGATGCTGAAAACATGTACTTGCCACAGGTTTGATTTTAGATAAAATCTCTTGTGTCCATGCCATTGCAGCAACTGAGGAGTTAAAAAAGAATCAGAAAAGCCCTGATCTACCAACACCCATCTCTCTTTGTCATATGTATTATCATACAACCTACTTGTGCAATGCATACTCAAGTTGTATAATGCCACGAGATATTTCCTTACCTTTGCATGATGAAGTCGCCAGAAAAGTTTGTTTTCCACCTACGGTGTGTAACCCTCCTAGAAGGCCAAAGAAAACAGGTTTTAAGGATGCTCTTGAAAAGGCCATGGCGAAGAAACGTCCTAGGAAGGAGCACAAATGTTCCATGTGTAAGCAAGTTGGTTATAATCGGGCTACTTGCCTTAAGTAACTATTACGAGTTCTTTGTTTCAATTTTATATACTAATAAGTATGAGAGTAGCAAGCATTTCGTGATTATGTAAGAACCATACTAATATGTGTGCATTTCGTGTTTGTTTATGTAAGAACCATAGTAATAAGTTTGAGAGTATTTTCGCTAAATAAGTCTGCTTTGAAACAGAATTTAAATCTACCACTATGAATTTTATATGTAGATACTTCCCCCAAATAAGTCTGCTGCAACACCGAATTTAAATCTACTACTACAACAAACACATATAGATATTTCCCCGAAATAAGTATGCTGCAACACCGAGTCATCAACTTTAGTACAAGTTGAAGCATTGGTCACTCATTTTAACATGTATGCGTTGAAGCATTGGTCACTCATTACCGACCTCTTCTCAGGTGATGCTATTTGTTTCAACAACAAAGAAATCAGCTTCGCATAAGGCTTTACCGAGTATTCAATGAACTTGTCACTATATAAACAGAGCACGCTATGAAAAAATCTAATCTTTCTCTTAGCAAAATCCACTTCTAGAGCCACCCAATGCCTGCTGTCGATGTTGTGGGCGATGTACAAGTAGTCAACATCCTCCACCCATTTCCTTGGCGGACAAGGGAAATCACGGAATATGCCATTTGCCACGTTCAAATATCGCTCTGAGAAGATCCAATTGTTCTCGTCAGGTACGAATGTTTTCTCATAATCTCTGCACCATAAATATCTAAAGAATGGATCGAGGAATGCAACTCTGCCATTCCGAAAAGGAGATGGAACTAGGGAGGACCGACGTCGAAACATATCAAATCCAGATGCCATTTGCTGAAAATACATGAAAGTACATGATAAGCTGTTTGTACCATTGGATATAAAAGGTAACTTAGT